GGCTAAGAATTCCATCCTGTCCCGGTGGAGGACGCAAAGGCTCAATCGCCGACTTCGAAAGAAAATTGCGCAACTCAATCGCGAGATCAAAGCCTACTCTATTGAACTCTCCAAACAGCAGTGGAATTAAGTATGTTCTTCGGTTGACGGACAGATGAGAGTGGGGGCCAAATGGAACCTCCTCAAACAATTACTTGACGAGTCACAGTCGAAGGGAAATCAGCGATTGGCTATTGACAGAATCGTTCACAACCAGAAAGCGAAGGGAGTGTCCGAAAAGGCCCTCCTAAAGAGGTTAGCGGACAGCTATCTTCCGCTGGGCCCTTCCGGCGATGCGGACTATCCGCATTACAGGGGTGGAATGGTGGCGGAGCTGGACGCACCTTTCACTGAACCAGAAATCTGTAAGGTCCTCCATGAGCTCAACGGACGCTCTGCACCGGGCCCGGATTGAATCTCAAATAAGCTCTCACGTAACTTGGATGGCAAATCCATCGAGAAGCTTACCGAGGAAGTCAACAAGATCTGGGAGACGGGGCACGTCCCCGAATCCTGGAAGACAGCTTCGGTAGCGCTTATCCCAAAGCCAGGCAAACCTCTGGCTTCGGAGAACATGCGACCCATCTCGCTTACGTCCTGCGTAGGCAAGGTGGCCGAACATGCGATTCACCATCGGGTATCCGAGTACATAGAAAGCAGAGAGCTATTTCCACACAATATGGTAGGATTCAGATCTGCACTATCCACACAGGACGTGATGCTCCTTATCAAAAGACAAATCATTGACAACAACACCAGGGATACTAGAGGCATACTAGCTCTAGACCTAGCTAAAGCTTTTGATAATATCTCGCACAAGTTTGTGCTTGAGGCAATTTCGGTTATGGGTCTAGGGCAACGGTTCCACGCATACGTTAGGTCTTTTCTCAGGGATCGCAGGGCTACCATTAGGATCGGTCAAATCCAATCCACGGAATTTACCTTGGGAGCGAGATGCACCCCACAGGGGGCAGTTATCTCTCCTCTACTCTTCAATATTGCCATGAAGGGCCTCTCGGAGCGACTCGCTACGGTGCGCGGGGTTAACCATGCTCTCTACGCGGACGATATCACCGTGTGGTGCATGGGAGGGTCCGACGCCGGGGTAGAGCAGGCGCTCCAAGAGGCATTAGACATCACGGAGAACTTTCTAGTCAGTTCAGGCCTGAGCCTGTCATCGGCAAAGTCTGAGTTACTACTATACAGACCCACCCGACAAGGACTGAGGAACCTCACTCCTTTAGAACAGATTCCCATAGCTTTATACACACGGGATGGGCAGAGAATACCCAGGGTGGACTCCATCAGGGTCCTCGGACTCCTGCTAGAGTCCAAGGGGGGCAACTCACGAACTATAGCCCGCATCACCTCCAAGACGGAGAACATGCTTAGGCTCATACTCAGGGTCTCGAACCGCAGGGGTGGGCTGAGCGAGAGCAATCTCCTTCGGCTCTATCATGCATTTCTCGTGAGCCACATCAATTATGTCGCTTCGGCATTGCGCTGGTCCAAAAGAGAAGAGTCAAGAATTGATACACTACTGCGCAAAAGCATAAAGCGAGTTCTAGGCTTGCCTATCCACACTAGCACCGAGAAGCTCCTACAATTGGGCATGCATAACTCCCTCTCGGAGGTGATAGAGGCCCAGCAGATGGCTCAGGTCGTGCGACTATCGTCCTCGAGGGCTGGTAGGCGCATCCTGGAATCCATAGGCTGCTGTCCTACGGCGACTAACCAGCGTAATGTAACACTACCACCCTCGATCAGAGGCACGTTTTCGGTAGCTCCACTTCCAAGAAATGTCCACCCACAATACAATGTAGGGGGCCGCATAGCTCGGGCCCGTTCCTTATTAAAATCAGTTGCAAACAGACCGCATCTCGCGACCTTTGTCGATGCAGCCCAGTACGGGCGTTCGGATCGCTTCGCAGTGGTCTCGGTCGATCATAGTGGCACACTCCTATGCTCTGCCTCGGTTAGAAAGGTTTCGGCAATGGTGGCTGAGCAAATCGCCATCGCAATGAAGGACCCATCGCGTCCTAATGTCTTTACAGATTCGCGTTTTGCAGCTAGGGCTTTCGCCTCGGGCTCGATCTCGCGTGAGGCAGCGGCCATCCTCGGCTGTGAGGGGGCTGCCAGGTTTCACACCATAACATGGTTCCCGGCCCACATGGGGGCCAACGTACATCCTGATGTCCCCAACGCCAATGAGTTTGCCCATGACCGTGCGCGAGGTATCGCTCACCGCGGCGGTCCCGGCGGATTCGCAGGCGGGGACGCCAGAAGATACAGGGACTCGCTACTCACTTTCAACGAGATCATGACTCATTATCATCTATCTCGGAGGACTTTTCCACTTCCTCATCCTAAACTTACGCGACCGCAATCATCGGCCTACAGGATGCTCCAAACGGGGTCTTTCCCTTCGCGTGGCAGGTTCAGCCATTTTTCGCCCAACATCGAGCCGCATTGTCCAGACTGCGGTGAGGCGTATTGCTCATTACCTCATATGCTCTGGCAATGTCCTGCGTTACGTGACGCAGAGTTCAACAAAGAAGAGGACTGGGAGGAAGTCCTTCACAGCGGCGACCTCCTGGTTCAACTTCGGGCTGTCCAGAGGGCCTGCGAGAGGGCGGAGGGCCACGGTCTTCCGGTCCCTACGTGGGAGCGGCCCGCGACTGCTACGGATTCCCCCTAAACGGGGCCGTTACTACGCAGTTCCTCAGGACCTGAATAAAGTTCTTTGTCTGTCTGTCTGTGGCGGTCAAACATTATTACCATGCTGTAGTTTTGGCAGTTTCACACATAGTGCGTCGTTGTCACGGTGCTCTTTCCGTGCGTGCGGCATGTTCTATCGTGCAGTCCGATTTCGAGAAGAACCTTGTTGACATTAAGATGCAACTTATTTTTGGTCACTTTTATCTGTAAAAAGTGCCACAAGTCAAGACCAGCATATTCGAGCGGTTTTTTGGTATTGGGTTGGTTGTACCATGTGGTGATAACTTTCTCAGTGCTGATCGAGGGTTACGGTGATTTCCTCAGCTCTGATCCTTCCATGTAAGTATTGCACTTTCATATTTCGAATAGATTCCATGTTGGTCCAGAGTATTTTATTTTTTTTTGTCATCATGAGCATCTTATGATTGTATACTTTGCTGCAGCTCGCGATGAATGCGTGAAGCGCACCACCTTATGGTTAGTGTAAGCATACTGTGTCTTTGAACGGTGCACATGTGTCTTTCCAACAAGGGCTAGTAGTTATGTGCAAGTGAATTCATTTGAAGTCTAGTCACTGTAGTACTGAACAAAAAAAAATCTGTTGCCTTCAGGGTTGCATTTCGCCTACATGAAAATGCGACTGCTGCCACAAGATTGAACACCTCTTTTTTTTTTTTTTCAAATCATTGTCAAGCAACATAAATGAGGGGTTGCTGCGATGGCGAACATTGATAATAGTTACAGTTTTCCTATGGCATTATCTGTGCGAGTGCTTGTCAGACTGGGCTAGGGGTCATTTTAACTTTATAGGGCTAAACGCCAATTGGCTCATGCCACTTATGTTATTTGGTGAAGCTATACGTTCGCTGTGATTACGTTCGTTTTGATGAGTCACTATTGCCTTAACTTCTTTCAGGTGACGTACAAGGATGCATGCAAGCACATTGCTCATCTGAGGATATTTTCCTATTATAACAATACCTGCTGCAAGTGTTCAAATAAATTTCAAGTTTCCACACCTTTACTATGTGAAGTTCCCTGGATCAGCAGGTTCTGAGCCTATCAAAGAATCAACTACGTGACACGCGATATACCAGCTGAAATCCGTGCAAGTTTTGGCCGATTTTATGATAATCCTAGAATTTCAGGCAGGTTCGTTCCCGTCTCGTAGCACATTCAGCCACTTTGCTGATGGCATATTTCCAGGATGCCCTAGCTGTGAGGCACATAACTGCACACTGGCTCGCACGCTTTGGCAGTGCCTGGCGTTACATGGCACAAAGTTCAGCACAGAACAAAACTGTGAGAGGGCTCTTAAAAGCTCCGAGCTCTCAGTCTATTACTCGGCAGTCCAGGAGGCCTGCGAACAGGCGGAGGGACCCGGTCTTCCAGTTCAGGCGTGGACGCGGCCAGCAACTGCAGCGGATTCCTCTTAGGGAGGTGTCTGACCAGATTTCCAGGACCAAATAAAGTTCATTTCACTTCACCTCGGCATCGTTCACCACTAAGGTGTCAAGCTTGAGCACTTTCACAGACGAATGAGCTAACTGCGTCATTTAAACCAACTGGCATACAGCCAATTGTTCCAATTGGTTATGCACTGGCAGCACCATTTGACCCTATTGTAATGCAAACCAACTGGTTCAATCAGTTGTACACTATGCCATTTGACTTAATTTGCATATAACCAATTTGCCCAATTAGTCCCAATAGACCAAGTGTCCACTAATTCACAAATGGAACCAATTGAAACAAAGAGGAAATTTTCCAATTGATTCCAATTATTTTTTAACTGGGATCTACAAAATTCTATTGGAGACTAAACAGCAATTGAACTGAGAATTACAAAATTAGAGTCCCTGTCACCTAATTTACAAATGTAGCTATGTGAAGAGTTGCCTGAAGCATTTGAGTTAAGCTCTTAAAGAAGTAGCACAGTACATGTTGAATATAACGTTTACTAGGAAGAATGAACAAGACTACAAAGGGTTGCCAACTTTTGCCCCTCCAAATAACCTGGTCCCAAATAGAAAGCTTTTAATTTGAAAAACTTTTTTTCTTTTTTTAGCACTGTTTAAAGGGAAGTGTTTCGATGCCTACGTTGATGTGTGTGTGTGCGTAGCCTTGCATTCACTGCAAGATTAGCTAAGGATAACCTACTAATCGGCAGTAAACATTTACAGACATTCGAAAATTGCACAGTTTACAGGGTGGGCGTGCAGTTCATTGAAGCAAGTTCTCACCTTTCGACATTTCGTGATGTGGATCTGCAGTCGTCCACGTTTGACCTGATGGGCTGGGTTGTATGGGCAAGTGGTCAACGGTTCTTGCCGGAATGTGTAGGTCGCCATGGTTTCCTGCTGGAACCAATTGAGCTTCATTAGCATAACAGCTCAACCAACAAAAAAATACCAGTTGCCAGTTAAGACCAAGTACACAGACAAGATTGGGAACAGAAATGAACATGACATGTGAACAAAATGAAATGCAACGTAAACTACGTAGGGACTAATGAGAAAATCAATTTGTCACCAGTATTCAAACAAAAAAAATTTTCAATAAAGCATTCCAATAGCTCACTAGCACATGTTTACAGTTTATACAAAAGGACTAAGAATATTGCTTTACATTTAAGAAAGCTTCAAGTGAGTATGTAAATGATTGACCGATGATGTGCAGAATGAATGTTGGGGCTTTTGTAAAGTGATTTGCTGCAAGACAGCATGTACTAGTATTTAAAAAACATACAGTGAAGGGTCAATTTGTTTGCGAGGATTTGTAGACTCAATTATTTTATTTGTTTGTTCAATGCCAGTATTAGAATGAATAACACATGGCACCACTAAGCTGCCAAAGGGGCCAGAACATGGAGCAAACACTACTAGACTAAACAAGGAGAGGGATGTTTAATATTTGTAGCCTGATGCGAAATACCGAAGCAGGAAGGGATAGACCGAGAGGACAGAGCGCTACAAAAGTTCTTTTAAATGCACCACCAACAAAGCACACATTGCAACTCTCGTAGAGGTTTAATGGTCTGTTCAATTATTCTTTTTGCAGAGTTGCCCCCTCACTGAGGGGAGTCAAACTGATCGCAAATGCAGTGTCACTAGAATACTACTTGCTGTGGAACAAAAGGAGCATTAATTTTCATCGCAACCTAGCCAGTGGCACTAAATCTCAATAGTGTAAGTAACCTCACAGAACTAGACTATTACACATACACAAAAATGTATATCCATATATATATATATATATATATATATATATATATATATATATATATATATATATATATATATATGTGTGTGTGTGTGTGTGTGTCCTATTTTGTCAAAGCTATAGAGCAAACATGACAAACACATTATTGACCTTCCTCACAAAGCCAAGACACGATTGATTGATATGTGGGGTTTAACGTCCCAAAACCACCATATGATTGATCATGAGAGACCGTAGTGAAGAGCTCCGAAAATTTCGAACACCTGGGGTAACGTGCATCCATATCTCAGCTCACAGGCCTACAACATTTCCGCCTCCATCGGAAATGCAGCCGCCGCAGCCGGGACACGATCCCGCGACCTGCGGGTCAGCAGCCGAGTACTTCAGCCACCACCGCGGCAGCGCTCACAAAGCAAGACAAGCTGCCACCACAGTGTAAAAATGGTAATTTGGAAATTAATAATCAAATTTTGCCAACACGCTGTGTTTACATGCAACTACTTTAAAATGAACTTGGCCTCACGTTCTTTAAGGCCAAAATAACATCCAATCCATGCGAGCTGCTGTCACATGTCAAACCAACTAAACTACCGCAAAATTTCAAGTGGCCCAACATGACAAATCAGCACAGGATTGCTAGGAGAACAGAAGCCTTACTTGCTGCATGGTATTACATTCATGCTCCAGCCAGCATGAAGTAGTGGGGACACGCTGCAGTATTGCTACTCATATATTATGGGAGCACTTCCCTGAGAAGTTGTGTGCAACAAAACAAAACAAGGCATTCTGCAATAAATTACAGCCGCGGAGGCATGTGTCTGTTCTAAACTATGCACTGACAATAGTACTCATGCACAGGAACTTTAACAAAGCTGACAGCCTTACACAGGCTACAAGTGCCTTTTGACAATTCGGCATATTCAGCTTACAATGATGTCACGAACATGGTTAATCAAAAGTGCGCGGCTCTCCGAACTGTGACTGATAAAATTGCGTCAGATTTTTAAAGCAAATTTAGCCGAGAGGCCGAATTGAAGTTATCACCTGAAGGGCTTTTGTAGCCCACACGCACTGACTAACGCAAGATTACGTTTACAACATATATGACAAAATACCCTTAACAGCACATGAAAATGAACTCCGCGTTAAAAAACATGAACTGTGTCGAAGTGTCAGGCCACCTCCGTCTGTTCGAACGGTCGTCGAATTCACAGCTCAGCGTGCGCCATCCTCTCTGAAAACTGTTTTCGAACTTCGAAAATTATACCAACAAAGGGCTTCGGCGCGTTAAGCATGCTGTCGGTTAAAAAATACCATCGAAATATCCAGTTTGCGCCGGTGCGAAGTCGCACCTAACCCTAACCAAGGCTTCCGACACACGTTTGGTAGCACAAATGAATGACTAAGCGTTCAGTGCGACGGATAGTTCGCTGCCCACTTCTGTGCCGTAATACACGAACACATTGCGCTCACCTGGCGCAAATGCTCAATTTGGGCTAATTCGCAGCTTGGCGAAGCTCGCCAGCTGATGCAGGGCTAGGAACGTCGCGCTAAATCACCTTGCTCAGCTTCTTGTCGTTGAGGATGGCGAGCTGCAACTGACGGGGGATAATCCCGGTCGCGCTTAAAAATTGGCTTCGACGATAACGCGAACTTCAAGGCTGCCGAGTAGTAGAGCGTACAACCTTGAATCTGTGGCGTACACCCACGCTGAAGATAAAAACGAAAGCTCACTTCCACCTCCTCTTCGGCTGCCGTTACACGCGCTAGCCGCACACTCACTCCGCACCAACGTTACTAGGCGAGAGCGGCTATCTCTGTGACGTCAGCAAGAGCGGCTCTCAACTTTTGCAAGCCAAACGCCTCCTCTATTTAGGCACGGCGCCGTGCTCCCGACCGGATTGCAGAAATTAGGTGCGTTTTCTCATCTTCTAACTACTACCACCGCCGCCATTTAAATGGCTGCTGCATGAGAAGAAAGACAGCTGCCAACGCCTTCCTCTCCTTCACTTTAGAATGATGATGATGATACAATGTGGTTCTGCCCTTTGTGACGGGTAGGCAGCTCTCAACTGCTTCAATCAAAAAAAAAAAAGAAAAAAAATAGGACTTGAGAAAAAACAAGAAAGACAGAAAAAAAACAAAAAGTGTCACACACATACAAACACACACACACACAGACTGTTGTCGGTCGCTCGCGTCACCTGTGGCGGACGGTGCAACAATGCAACACTTTGCATAGCCTCCAAAACAGTGGTGTGCAAATCAATTGCAGGTCTCAACTAACTCTCGACTGACGCGCCCCTATGGGCCGCAGGTGAAAAATGCTTAGCTAGTACACTTTCCTTCCTCCATGGCTAGTTAGAGGTGTGCGCCGACTGGTCGGCGCGCCGCCACCAAAAGTTCTTTGTCTAGCCGCCGACGCGAACTGATCGGCGCGCCACCGCCGCCGCCACCGACGTTTTTCATAGGCGCCACCTTTCCTTCCTCCGTGATCGGCGCAATCAGCGCGCCATTTATGCACCAGTACCAAATTTTCAGTGATTTGTCTTTTTCTTTTTCATCTTGATTTATAGCTTCGTTTCACATTTATGTAGCCAGTAAAAAGAGGCTTCTTAGTTATCTTCATCCAGCTTTAGAGACCGAGAGTACCACTATGAACAGCGGCACAAGTTCGGCGGCCGCTGCATGAAATGACATATTAGGGAGTTTTAGTGCTGGGTACGCAGGCGGCTTGCGTACGTAGGACGATGGGGCGGCGGTATTGCGCATGCGCGAAGCCCCAAAGAGATGCGTCGCAAGATCGCTGGGGCGATGCGTCTGTGCGGCCATAAACAAGATTCGGCTCGCTTGCTGGATTTCGAGCTGACCGGTCGTGCGCTCGCGCGCTCCGCGCGCTTGCGATCTCCCGCGTCAGCGTGGCTCTGGCCGACTGGACTCGCCCTACGTCATCTCCTGCCGCCGACGACCTTCCACCTCCGACGACAGTGCAGCTCTGATTTACTGGACTTGTTCTACGCCATCCACCGACGCCGAAAGGAGCTCTCGCAGGTGCGCCCCGTCCTCGGACTCCAGTGACCGTGCTCAATCTTTCTATCTCCTTCTTTTTCCTCTCGCTGGCTGTCTTCTTCTCCGTCTATTTTCCTTCTATTCTTTTTATCCCTCCTTCCCCCCAACCCTATAAGGCACTGCGCCGTGTCGCCTGAAGGCTGACAGAAATTAGGTGCCTTTTTCCTCTTCTTTCTAACCACTACCACCACCACCCATAAACAACGCTGCCACCACTGGCCTCCTAGCGGAGATAAGCTGCCGTGGCGCACATGCTGGCGCATCATGTTACCTTGATGGCGAGCAAAGCTGAGGCTGGCCTGAGCCACCACTTTGACTTTTAAGTTTTAAGCGCAAATATTATAGTGGCTAGCCACTATACGAATAGCATGGCACAAAGTCGCGAAATCTCGGACAGCATGGATCGGCCGCCTTGTAAGGTCCACCTTCGCGAAAATTCACGGTATCCGCACTGCGGATACTCTTGCCGTCGAGTTAAAATAAGCCAAAGTGCGATCACTTATAGCGATTACACGGTTTCAGCCAGATTTCCACAGCTAGAATGGCCTGGAACATAGAACTAAAAATTTGCCATCTCCCGACCAGCTGACTAGGTGGCGCCATCTAGCGAGGTCATAGTGAAACAGACAACCACACTTTTGTTATTGCAGAAACATTGTGCATGGTACATCTGGTGCAAAAACTGCGCAGCGACAATATTACAAATGAGTAACAATTTTATTCATTTTCACCTCAGAAACATTACGCGTAAGCTAACATGTTCATGACTGTGGTTGCACGAATTGTCACAAGATGTCGACACTGCCGTTACATTAACTTTGTCTTTTCACTTTTTTGCGTATACCAGGATACTGTACACAATAAAAAGTGTCCTGATCACTATGTATGTTTAATTTAACATTTTAAATCATAAAAATACCTAAATAATACTTACGCGACAAGACGCTATAGCGCTGCGAGCGCGTGTGACCTTCGTGCGGCTTGCGTTTGCGTGCGTGCCACCGTGGTGCCAACTAAAAGGAATTCCGGTTGGGTATGGGTTGGGCACGCAACGCCGCACGCTCCCAAGCCCGCAAGACCCCAAGAGAATGCGTACCCAGCACTAAAACTCCCTATTAACATTGGACAAATTGACAAAAAAATAAATGTAACAGTTACAGTAATGCATAGACGCTGCCATCTTAGGCTTAAAATCAATTTTAGATGCGGAAGCATCTTATACTCGCGCCTTGTAGTGCGCCGTCCGCACCGCTTCTCGAACATTCGACAGCTGACGCGCGCGCATGCGCCGTTGCGCCGTCGCCCACTCTTCGACCATCTGTGCATCCCTTCCTCCTCTACACACCGCGCGCGCTTCACTCCTCCACCATCTGTGCACCCTTCCTCCTCTACACACCGCGTTCGACATCTACAATTCTCCTGATTCTCCAGTGGACGCGCATGTGGCGTCGCGCTTCGAGAACATTCAACAGCTGACAGTGCATGCGCCGTCGAGCTGTATATATACTCAAGGTCGGCGCTCGCTCGCTCAGTTGCCGCTCATCGGTTGGTTTGTACGGCGCGTCGACGTCCAAGGTCGCGGTGAAATGAATTCCAACGAATCCACAAACACAATGATCGACGTCCCTTCGACCAGCGCCGCCCTTTCGCATACGTGTGTACGTGTTCACTCATTTAACACCCCCTCCTACAACCACGTTAACCAATTTAGCCATCGACCCAAGTAAGTCGCAATTTAACACCCCATTTCACAACCACGTTAACCAATTTAGCCATCGACCCAAGTAAGTCGCACTTTAACACCCCGTTAACCAATTATATGCTCCGCATCCTCCTCAGTGTTCCCCCGAGGGAAGCTGCGGGCACTTTTTTGCTGGTTTTCTATGTCGTAATCAGCAATGATTTTGGTCATACAACGTTAAATGTACTGGCCCAGCGTGTTGATGCGTGCGAGTTCACCGTAGCACTATTCGAATATTCATATGGATGCAAAACGGCATCATAATCAGTCCAAGATGGCAGCCTATGATCGTGCCCGAAACAGGGCGTATACACAGAAGAAATGAAGTGGTAACAATGCAGCACGAATGCAGCGCGTTAGGTGAAGAACTACACAAAGCCCCGAAGGATGAAATTGAAAGGGAAAACTTTAATGGAGATTAGAAGCGTCGAGGCATAACACATCCTCGAACCTACTCAGGGTATATCATCACCTGTCCGTGGTGTTAAAGTTGATAATTTTCGAGGATGACCACTCATATGGAGCGTCTCAACATGCTGCAGAAAATATTTGATGCCTTTTAATTCAGGCATCAGATATCGGGGATGAAGATGCCAAGGCAGTAAGATGGCAAAAGAGAGAAAGGAAGGCTGGGGGTTTAACCAGATCTTGGCATCCGGTTGGCTGCCCAGCAATGGGGGCGGAGAAATAGGGGCAAGAAAGGGGGTGTAGAGAGACAGAAAAGAAAACGCATGTGCACTCAGGAGTAGGATGGCAAACTTAACAGAAGATTTATTACATTCTGAACAGACAGGGCGAGAGATCTCTTGCGAATGAGCTGTGTGGCTCATTATAAAGTGTGCGTTTTGACTAAATCAGGGAATGGGTCCAGAATGCGCTGTTGAATCACGGGGGACAAACACCATTTCTGACGGTGCCGCTCACACTCGCTCAAGTTGTCTTTGATTGGGGCGTGGCCACCACACTGCACCTGTGACACCAAGAAACTACTGTGGTCGTCACGTCGAACGTCTTGTGGTGTCGGAATGCCACCTTACTTCCCGGCTAAGATGGACAAAACACGGCGGACAGCAGGCTGGCAGCCCTTCGGTGACTTGTTTGACGAACAAAGAACACCGCTCTCCCCCGTCGGCCCAGGCGCCGCGTGTAACAACGCTATATAAGTGGTGAGCAGAGGCGTAATAAGCTTGTCTGAGGCCACCAGTTTTAAAAAGAACAAAAAAAATTTTTAAAACTTGCCTGCAAAAAGTTTAAAAAGACGGCTGGATTCGTCAATAATGCGGAGACAGACACTTGAGCGACATGTCATCTATGACGTAGTCCAGCAAACATGTTTTCATCACGTAACTTGAACGCACCTACTGGCTCTGTGAAAGATGAATAATAATTGTTGTGGCCAGCGGTGATGTACTTCTGTTGCGAAGGTAATGCTCAGAATTAACCAAATAAATCTTAACTTTATATTCAAGTCTTAATAAAAAAGTTAGTCAAGTTAGAAAGCTCCTCAGGTGGCTAAGTAATAAATTACTTCACCATACTTTATGGTGAAGTAATTTGCAAATAAATAATGCAACCTTTGTTTAATTGATATTCAATGACGTGACTGCAATAAACGGTGTGTCGTCGCTATAAAACTGGAACGTTATCTGCGGACACGAGCGGGCGAATGCAGCGGAGAACGAATATGTCATGTAATAAAAGCGATGTGATGTCGCACATCTTCGCCTGTACAACTCCGTGCCCTTTTGCTTGCTCGTGATGTATTCGAAGGAGCTAGCCAAGTCTCGGGTACAAGTCGAGCAGAGTAGCCGGGGCTGATAACAGGAACGTTTACATACACCATTTTCACACTAAAGGTAGCTATATGTTGATGGTAGCATCACGGAAGCGTGATGGGAGCTTCTCAGGGATGGTTCAGAGCATCTCGGTGCTCGCGTTTTAAGCCCTGGTCTTCCTAAAATTATCTGCAGGAGAAAACAGTTGACAGTTTGCAATATATCTGCTAGGCAGATTTTCTGTAAGGTTAGTTTTTCAACCAAGAACTCACGTTCACAGGCTGCTTTTCTCGCTCATTTCGTTTTTGCCATTCCTTTTTTTTTTTAGATCTTGTTGTGCTCACGTGCCTTCGCTGGAATTTGGAGAGGTGACATTTTGTTGTACTCGCGTGCTAAAATGA